TTATGTCAGTGAGGGTCCTCATAAAGACAGAAACACAGACCTGAGTGAGTGTAATTATGAGCATCTGCTGTCCTTTTATTGAAGCCCTGGAACAACCTGCAGGCTGCAGAGCTTATCGTACACACACATCTCCATCCACACACACCCCTGTGTTTACACTGCTGCATGAAATGCTTCATAGAACGCTCTCCACCCGTGAGCACAAACACGACTTATTATTCACCCAAACAGATGAAAGGATGTAGATATGAGCGTGTGCACGAGTCACATCGTCAAGGCTGCTGCTGTTTCCACGTCACTGACGATCATTTTCCAAATCACCCATCGCTGGGTACAGACGTCCGGTCCCTCCTTTCAGGCAGCTGCGAGTTTTAGATGCAGGGCTGGAGATAATGACAGGGCAGCTACGGGGCATGGGGGGCATCAGGCATGCTGGGGGGGAGGCCGTAAACCTAAGAGTTCCCGTGTTTTTCATTTACATTCCATATAAATTCATGCTAATGACTCAAAACTGATTATTACTGGATGAACTCTCTCAGAGGCACCAGGCAGGAAACCTTGGCGCTCTGCAGAGCCTGTCTCCTGGCTGGATGGACGGTGCTTGTGTAACAGCTGAAGCAGCTGAAGCTTTTTTCAGTGTTTTATTTATTCCGGAGTAAATCTGTTTGGCTGAGATCAAAGTTATTAGATTAGATTGAACTTTATTGATCCATCGGGTGGGTTCCTCCAGGGTTTTCACACGGCTGAATAAACATCAGACAGGAAACTGATAAAACACAAGTGTGAGACGGTCGAGAGTTTACTCCAGTGTCCTGTTATATTTTAGAATACAAGGAGCAGACGGCTGGGTTTATTAAACTCCACCGAGACAGCGGTGACGCTAATCAGAAGGCTGGACCGTCCCATTTCACAGCCTCGCACTTCCGGCCTTCTCGGTCTACGTGGGCCGAGTCCTTCAAAGACCGTGAAGGCCAGGTCCTCTGAAGGATGCGGCCTACGTTTTGGGACACAGCTCATGTGAGAGCCAGATGGCCCATGGAAGTTAGAATGAAATAGACTTTATGCAAATGTTGATTATATTAAATAACACAAAGATGTCACGTGCTGAAACAAGAACACGTGCTCGTTATGAAGTTGGTATTAGCAACACTGTTAGCGAGACTCAGCCGTTGCTTTCAGGCCGACTGTGCGTAGCTCAGTGAGGCTCGTTCATCGTTCTGAAATCAGAAAGAGCTTCCTGGAAAGTCATGGTGCCACATGTTGCTCCTAAACCTGGAGATATGGTCCAGCACTAACGGTGCAGCTTGGAGGACGCAGCGTCCGTGATCACACAGAGACTAGCTTCTCCCTCTTTGTCTGGTTGATTTTAAAATAAAGTTATCACCATGTGAAGAAACATCGCTGTGTTTTGTTGGAGAAAAACTGCAAATAGGCCATATGACCACATGAGGGCGCAGTGATTATAGCTGTTATTTAACCAGGTAAGTCTTTGTGTACACATTTGTACATTTAACGTCACAATTAAGCAGCAAACAATTAAGAACATGCGTCGCCCCCTGGTGGTGAGTGTCAGTCAAACCGTGCAGAGGGGTAATTACAGCAGATGCAATTAGAACTACAGTAAACATGTTGGCCATCTTTTTCTCATTGGGCCTCTCTTACACTGACACAGTGATGCTCAAATTGCGTGGAGAGGCCCACCTGGAGCTCATGGAGCTACTGCAGGTGGACCACTGACCACAGAGGGAAACTGGGACTGGTTTGGGTGAAATAAACACCTTCTTTCACTAACGGTGTGTTCACACCGAACGCGATGGACGCGAATAGAGCGTCAGGTTTACATGTAAAGTCAATGGAAAGGAGCGATGACACGCGATTGCGGGTCCCGCGAAAATTCGGAAGCAGATTTGCGTCGCCAAAACGCCTGAAACGCGCGTCAGTGTAGCGCGTCTGGCGCGTCTGACTCGCGAATAAAACCACGCGTGTGAGTTTTTGTGTTGCATTTTGTGCATACGCGCGTTTTGCGTCCCCCGCTCGAGTTGGAAAAATCTGAACTCCAGCGTCAAATCGCGCCGCGACAACCAATCAGGAGCCTGGTGACGTGGCTGTTACCTAGGTCAAAGGGGCAGATCCAGCCAAAGCCTTTCATACTTCAATGGAGGGGAAGGCTAATCAATGCGGTAGCAAACAACTCGGAGCTGTACAACACCAGCTGCTTTCTGTACCGAGACAGGAATATAAAGGACCGAGCTTGGAGGAAGATATGTAAAGAGATCGGGCAACCTGGTAAGTTCATTCATTTCTCTTAAGTTTTCTCTAAAGTTTTCACTGACCCGGGGAAGCCGCACAAAAGCTAGCAAGCCACCGCTATTTTCCCACTGACGTACAAATACCGTTCTGCTTTTAGGCATGTTGTCATTTAAGAATATATTTTATTGTTTATTAATAAACAGCACACAGTGGTCCCGCTGTTCATCCGTCGCTGCTTCACTTTTTCGCTGATTTTTTTATTGCACAGTACAGCATTGCATTCTGCAGCCTGATTGACAAATCTGCTCCGTGTCGTGTCTCCTGCACTTGCCAAATTTATCATGTTTGGTTTTGATAACCATCACGTCCAATAGAAAAAACAGCACAAAAACACCCATAACTATGAGCCTCATTCGGAAATAGACACCTGCACCGTGAGGGGAAAAGGCGCACGAAAGTGGCGGGCAGATATTTGAGAAGTGAAAAGAAGTTTACTGGATTTACAGAAAGTGTGCAATAATTGTTTAAACAAAATCAAGCAGGTGCATAAATTTGGGCACCACAAAAAAGAAATGAAATAAATATTTAGTGTATATCAATGTGTGTGTCTCCTATATGATATATGGGGTGCCTTTGTCTGGATGTGCTTCCCATCCAGAGCTGCACAGCACAGAGGGAAGTTCCAGCGCTCCTGGAATCCCTCTGTGATGGAGCGCCAGTCTCCAGGTGAAGGCACAGCCATGAAGTCGTCCACTAGACAGTCCCAGATGGCCGTCGCTGCCTGGGGGGTGATCTGGCTCACCGTGGACACACCGACTCTGAAACTGAACGCGATGGTCCTGAAGGAGTCCGCGGTGACAAGGAACCTGGACAAAATTGTTCAAAATCAGTATTATGTGTACTGCAGTTACAAAATACATTATTCAAATTCCAAAATACTTTTGTGATGTCAGATATAAATCACAAAACTTAAATCTTACATAAAACATTTTGTAATTATAAGGATAATTACAAAATGTATATTAGATAATATCTAAAACAGTTGTGTTTTGTTTTAACTTTAACATATCATAATTTGATTGGTAGCAACTTTCACAACTACAGTGAGCCAATCACTCATAATTCCTAAACATGTCAATCAGGTAGGAATGAAGTAAAACATTAATAGAAATAAAGAGTTGTGTGTTGACATGTAGCCCTTTCCTTGCTTAAATCATTAATATTTTTGAAAAATTAATCTGTGATAAGACAGCTTATCAAGATAGAACCATGTAACTAAAGATGAACCAAACTGTTCAGTTTTATCTAACTCTGTTTTAATAAAGGCTGTGACCCCTGCTATAGAGTCTGACAGCTGCAGGGATTATATACAAATATTCAACTATCCCAGAATTAAACCAGGTCTAAATAAAAAGGAGTGAGTATCACTACAAAGGTTAACTCAGTGGTCCTAATGCTACAGTTTGATATCAGCAAACACCGAGCACATACATTGATGTGACACCACAGCCATGCTATCATGCAAACACTGATAACAGCATAAATCGAATTAAATCGGGACTTGATGAGAGCTTCTGAGTATCACTAGAAATATTATAAAGAGTCGTCTCTGTACCACAGTTTGCTTTCAGTAAACACCGACAGCATTCACTGTTAGCATAGCACATCCATGTTAGCAGTCTATAAACGATAGTTTAGCATATATTAGCACAGGTATCAATAAAGGACTACCGTATTAAATACTTTTACTAACCTCAGGCAGATGGACAGGCGCTCTGCAGGTGGGATTGAGCGCCTGTAGTTGGTGTCTAGGCGGGCGATGCTGGGACCGACGCGGGACAGCAGGTCCTCAAACTGGCCGACGGTGATATCGCTGGAATCGGCCGTCATCCAGGCGCAGCTCCTGGAGCAAGTGGTGAAACTCACCAAACTGCTCACACCTCTGGAGGACCTGATGGACCCAGGTACGGCGAGGACGTCTTTTACGCTGCTGCTCTGCTCTCCACAGTACATAGAGAAGGGAGACTCTCTCTTCAAGCGCTAGCTCGACAGCTGCCATCTAGCAAAGATACTGGTCTGGCACAACTCCCTCCCACATTTCCGGTTCACGCGCGCGATGTATTTTTCTTGGACACGCGTTAAGACGCGAATGTGCACGCGTCAAATTAGGGGCGTTTTGTTCGCGTCCATCGCGTTCAGTGTGAACACACCGTAAGACTACAACATAACATGGCTGTCATGGTCCGGGTTCCCTCCCGGTTTTCCTGTCCACTGCTCAGGTGTATGTGGGGAGGTCCTGCGCCGACACACCTGTTCATTATCAGGTCATTACCCTCCTGTATTTAAGCACCAGCTCGAGCTTTCGCTGCTTTCGTTGTGCGATCGGACTCTCTGATGCTCGTCGATGTCTCTCTGCCATCACTCAAGAAACTCACCTGTAATCCCGAGCTGGAGTTTTCCTGTGGAAAGAGGAACGCCCTCCATCGTTTCCCTGCCTCTGGGTAAAACTCTGCCACCTGCTCCAGCAGAATCAGAAGCTGAACTCATCCTCACCTGTTCCGCCTCCTGCTGCAGACACCTGTCCATACACCTGAGCTAGCCTGAGTCCACTGACAGAGTTACCTTCATCAGTTATGATGCTGAGTTTGAGCGTTAAGGACTGATGACAGAGTCTGGATGGGGTGAAGGTGTGGAGTTTCCTGAACATGTCTCCAGACTGTCGATGTCGCGATCACCTTCGCTCAGTGGCGCTCCATCCTGCTAGAAGCACTCCAAGCTGCTCCTGGATGGTTGGAAGGTGTTGGTCTGTGAGGACGTCGCAGTGAGATCAGCTTGGAGCTCTGATACGGTGGGACTGCAACTCCACACGTCAGGACTTGGTCCAGAAGCTGAGACGCAGCAGAAGAAGACGGGTCAAACACTAATGTGGGTGGAGGGCTCATCCAGCAGTAAAAGTCTGAAACTGTTCCTCAGCGAATTGCAGAAGCACGCAGAAGTCATCACACTGAAGCGTCTGAGGAGGACAGACGATGTTTCGTGTGTGAGCAGCTCTGACTCTCCTTTAAAGGGACGCGTGAGCGTTTCCCGGGTCGGCGTGTTAGGAGCCGCAAGCTCCTTCAGACACGCTCGCAGTAAAGCAAAGAAGCTTTGATGCGCGCCATCGCACGGCCACGTCTCCATCCAAGCACTCGAGATCGTTCATGTTTCATCTTAACCCTTTGTGTCAGGCAGACTGACTTTCCTTTAGTTCTTCTTCTGCTCTGTGAAGCGCCGGCTTCAGTGTCGTCATCTCTTAAATCAGCTTTAATCACCTGCAAACACTCACACATCCGCCCGCCTGAGAGACGCAGCTCCAGCTCTAATGAGTCTTTAAGGTGGCCTTTCAAACCACATGAAGTGAAACCACACACACACATACACACACACGTACACACGCGCACACACACACGGCTCTACCTGTCTTGTGTCTCCAGGTGTGTTTTAATCTCTCTGTGGTCTCTGCGGTGTCACATATCAAACAGACTCCCGCCTCACCAGAGGCCGCGGGGCTTCCAGGAAGGAAGTGGCGGCGGCACCGTCTCCGCCGACTGATCTGCTGGAGCTTCAAAAGCTCCTTCAAAAACTTCTGAGGACCCGGCAGCTGACAGAGGGCAGATCAGAGGGGAGGGGAGGGGTATAAAAACAAGCGCACCTGAAGGCAGCAGGTAGAAGAAGGCGAGCTTCATTCGGATAAGCAGGAAGGAGACTCTGCAGGTTCGCTCTGATGACTGAAAGAAACGCAGCTCTGTAGGACTTTCTCGTGAAGAGCTCAGAGGAACTGAAGAAGCTGTGAAGCCGTTTTCGCCCGACTGATCCACTGATCGATTGGAGGATGTGGATGCTGCGCAGCGTCCTGTGCGTGTCTGTGGTCTGCGGTCTGGCTCTGGACTCAAACACCATCAGATCCTCCAAAGAGTCGGCGCTGCAGAGCTCCGAGCTGCCGGTAAGACGAGGACACCTCACACTCTGCATCCCGCTGCATTCCGTTTACGTGACGTCGAAAGCCTCAGGTCAGCGCGACCTGAAGCTCCTCACCTGTTCATGCTGCACTGCTGCCTCCTGATTGGCTGACTGGATAACTGATAAATAAGCAGGTGTTCACAATAAAGTGCTACAAGTTGGATCTAATTATTCAAACCTGAGACAGAAGCTCATTCGTTTATTTTAAAAATTATTTTGAGACATTTATTAAAAATAATTGTATTAATATTTTTGAATGTTTAACATCTGGAGTCAACTTAAAAATCTGCTTTGTCCATTCAAGCTTCCTTTAATCTTTCCAGCAGAAAGAAAATTCATTACATCCGTTTAGTTCAGTATGTTTGAGTTGAATTTTATTTACACAGCACAAAATCACAGCAAAGAAAACCCACAGAAAGGTGTTGGTGTCAGTGGGGAGGACGAACCCCCTCGAACACAACAGAGCTTAGGCAGCAGCAGCAGCGAGAGGGAGAGTCTCTGATGCTCTGAATAAATCTGTGGATGAAATGTGAGAGCAAGTTTTCAACTTTCAGATTCATCAGGACAGAAAATCGCTGAAATCGTGAAAGCGGTTCTTCAGGGTCGCTTTAAAGACGTTAGACTGATCTCTCGCTGCTCGTGCACGAGGCCTCATTTCACCAGTCTGCAGGAAGCTCCAGTGTTAAAGCTTCCTGTGTGCTGAGTTTTCAGTTTAAGAGCCTTAAAGGCCAAAAACAAAGCGAGACGGCGTCGCCCAGCGCAGACGCGTGTCCTGCTCTCTTTGCATGCACACTCATTTAATACTTCTGGTAAACGTGTTTCTGGGTTTTGTCCTGCCGTCGCTGTGATGTGAAGGATCTGTGTACAGCAGCAGGTAACAAAAGTCCAGCTTCACAGGCACAGGTGACGCTGTCATTACTGCAGCAGGGCGGAGTTTCTGTTCACGTGAAGCTTTGTTGTCTCAGATGAAGATCTTGATCAGCTCAATGATCATTGATCACTGACCTGATGGATGAATCAGTCTGTGAGGAGCGCGTCTTCACAGGGTTCAGCTTCTCTGTGTGGACGGATTTCATTTTTTAAGATTCATTCAAGAGAAAAAAAGCAGCTGCTTGGCGCCATCTTTAACTCTGACATCACTCTCTCACCTTTTAGGATCGTTCCCATGACGACAGGATGGAGACAAATTCCAACTCCCACCGACGACAAAGCCCGCCATGTACTTCGACTCAATGCAACGCACCTCCGGTCAGTACCGCCTAGCCCCGCCCACCTGCCGGCGCTAGTAAATCTGTCTCCTGTTAGCTGGAGTTTAATTTGGTAAATTAATAACAAAGTGAATAATAAAGGTTTATTGATCCTCCATCGACCTCCACCTGCAGGCTTCACGTATTCACAGCGACGTGTCGGATACTCACACACTTTGACATCAATACTTTACGTCTTCACTCAGTGTGACGCAGTGATGACGTCCTCAACAACTTTATTCACAGACATAAACAAAGGCTAACTGCTAACGGCTAACGCTGCTGCTAAAGTGTGCATGTCAGTAATGAGTGACATCACACATGAGCACTTCCTGTTACAGTTTGAATTCACTTTACATTTATATAAATAAGTACCAGGAGACCCCGCCCCCGCTGTGCATCACTGCCCTACAGGATACAGCGCGTTAAGGCGACTGTTATTATTTGGTGCGATATCAGTAAACCTAGATTGGATGACATCATTTGTCTGATGATTCTTGCCTGTGTGCAGCAGAGGGGGCGCTGCAGTAACAGAGCTGACAGAAGGCCGTCCCCCAGTGACGGACAGGCGGACGGACAGGCGGGCAGAGTGACGGGAGGACAGAGGGACGCTGACGGCAACAGGACCAAAAGTGAGAGACTGAGCATGTGCTGCTTTCCCAGAGTGCACTGCAGCAGGAAGCGGGCGTGCTAACATGTGTGTGTGCGTTTCAGCTCTGGAGATGTCGAGCTGCGTGCGGTCCGGCGACTGCGCGGACGGCCTGTGCTGCGTCCGGTACCTGACCGGCAAACGGTGCCAGCGGATCCCGGTGGAGGGCGAGGCCTGTCTGCTGCGAGGTCCAACCAAGCGGAGGAGGAACCTGGGACGCTGCGACTGCGATGCGGGGCTTTTCTGCACCGCCGTGGACCGGGTAGAGACGGGCAAAAACAAGGGCCAGGGGGTGTGCGCGCCCCGGCCGAAGCAGGGCCAGCGGAAAACAAGGCATTCTGGGAAGAAGCGGAGGACGGCAGAGGGGAGCTGCTGACGGACTCATGAACTCTTTATTTAAGTCTGTAGAAGGTTTTAGATGTTTCTCATATCACAGGTTCATCCAATCAGCAGCTGCCACACTTTCTCCATCACTGTCACTTCAACCAATAAAAGTCAATGAAAGTTGGTCTGAGCTCTTCTCAGGTGTGTGGGCGGGCACAGGTGGGGTTTGACTGACAGCTCTGTGGGACAAACTCCACCCTTATTATTCATTACTCACTCGCTGAGCAGCATTGTGACCCTGCAGTTCCTCTAACGTCCACCAGAGGCAGCAGCGACTCAGGCCCCATAGACTTCCATGTTAAAACTGATACACAAACTGCTTGGTGTCCAGTGTTGGGCAAGTTACTTTGAAAAACTAATTAGTTACAGTTACTTCTTCAAAAAAGTAACTGAGTTACAATTTTAATAATAATGGATTGGATTTATATAGCGCTTTTCAAGGCACCCAAAGCGCTTTACAATGCCACTATTCATTCACACACACATTCATACACTGGTGGAGGCAGCTACAGTTGTAGCCACAGCTGCCCTGGGGCGCACTGACAGAGGCGAGGCTGTCATATCCACATACCAGGACAGAGTCCGGGGATCGAACCAGGGACCTTCCGGTTACAGATGCGCTTCCCAACCCCCGACTAAATATAAATATAATATAGAATATTTATTATATATTATAAAAGTAATTAATTACTAGGAAAAGTAACTATTGTGTTACTTTAAAAAAGTGTTACATTAAATGATGCTTTTTAGGCAATGTAGTGCAAATTAAATGAGCCAAACTGTAACAGCTTTAGAGAACTCAGCTAAACAAGTATTTTTCTCCATGCAAAAGTAAATAAAAAGGATACTTTATAATAATAATAATACTGTATAATAAAACTAAAACATTTTTATAAAGTACAAAAATATAAACAGGTAATACAAAGTGTCAACTCCATGGCCATTTACAATCTATTTGAAGTCACACGTGCAGTTCTTGCAGTAGAGGTTTATTAGAGTCCTGCTTTAATGTCCTCTGCTTTTTTTTTTTTTTTTTAACATGAACTCTTGCCACATCCACACACCCCTTACATCCATCGTAGCCATTAAACCAGTGGTTGCATCTCAAAACAAGGAGCTTCTCAAATTTCTTAGCATAGAGTCTGTTCCTCTTTGGAGAGAAGAGGAGCTTCCCAAGGCTACAGTCTTTGTACTGAGGCACTGAATGGCGTGGCTGCATTGTATCTTAGTGAAATATTCCTTATCAGTGCACATCTATTCTAATTCTAATGTGAGCCCGAGGCAGGTGAGGTTTACGGCACAAAGAACCACGATGGTCTGAGTGAACCCTGAAGTTATCTGGATATACCAAACACCTCCTTCCTGGTGGAGGCTCTGCTCGAGCACGCTCAGAGGAAAAGCTTCAGTTTATTTTATATGAGAGCATCAGCAGAGGCGTGGAGCTGCTCCACCTGCAGTCACACACCTGTGGGTTCTTACCACAGCAATGCACATTATACGTTCTTCCTACACTGCTGCGCACACACACACACACACACACACACACACAGCCGCTGTGAGCGACTTTAACCTCGTGTTTCTGTGATGAATGCAGTGCTCTGTGTCAGCTCCGCCCTCCTGTTCAGGTGCAATTCCACAGCTTTACCAGCAGGTGTCACTTGTTAACAATTTAGAAAGGCCTGCACCTGTGAGAGTAATCAGATTACACACCAATCACCCACACAGTTCAGCAGAAACGCTCCAGATTTACTGTGTTAGAACACATTTCATAGTGACATCACTTCCTGTCACAGCTCAGGTGTTCGGCCGCAGGTAAATTTTATTGCTGAAGTTCAGAACAACGTCTGTCCTTCTTAAATACAATTTAAAATGGCCACGCCGATTGCGAGGGTGGCGGCGTGCAGACGGCGAGCTTTGAGACTCAAACATCACAACACACGTTTCAATTGTCAAGGCATCGTTTGTTTTATTCTCTTTGATTTAACGAAAGACCGTCAAGACTGTGGAAAAACGTTAATGCAAAAGAAACTTCCAAAAGGCAAAGTCACAAATGCAGCAACAGGATTTAACAGAATAAAAAAAAGAAAAAGGGGGGACAGAGGGGGATCAGGTGGGTCTCCATCAATAGGAATGTTGAATGGTGGAGGGGTGGAGCCTAAACAGGGAGCAGCTACAGGACGGGCGGGCAGGAAGGGCGGTGAGCTCAGAGCTGCCCGCAGTTGGCGATGACAACCTTGCCTTTGGGTTTCCCACTACTGGTGCCAAGGCTCTCCATCTTCCTCACCACGTCCAGCCCCTCGACCACGCTGCCGAACACCACGTGCTTCCCGTCCAGCCTGTGGGCACAGAGAGCGCCGTCAGGACACAGTGAGACAAACAGTCTGAATACACTAAACTGACCTCTGACCTTCAGCTTAAAAACCAACCATGACGCCTACTTAAAAAAAACGAGCTTCCTTTATTACCTCCTTCAGCCAAGGAGACACCAGAGGATGCTTGAGGAAACTAGCAGCCCACGCCACCAAACGCATCATGAAACCGTCTGCACGCCACGCCACGTCCTGACTAAACACTGCTGATTGGAGAGATTTAAATCTAAACACGGGGCCGCCCCGTGATGTCAGCCACAGCAGGTTCACTGCAGCCATAACCAGCAGTCATCTAAGGAGGGAGTGAGTGACGCGCAGAACAAGCGCACGAGAAAAATTCCCCGCGCGACTAGAGCTGAGCCCACGGACGGGGTTACAGTGTGCGTCAGTCCTGTTTGTGTCTGCAAGCTGAGTTTGTGTTTCCAGCGCGTGCAGTCCCCTCCCACACCTGCGCACGTTTAAACCACGACGACCCGCTGACAGCGGTTTTAGATCAGCGCTTTTGTTGCTCGAGCCCTTTGTGAGATTAAACCTCGTCTGCAGCTGAGAACATGGGCGGAGCCAAGCGGTTAGAGGTCGTTCGCGTTCATCGTTACCGTCTCAGACGTCAGAATCACTTTATTATGTTCCATAAACATTTTGTTCTGAGCAGTTCTACTTCAGGTTTAACTGAAAGACTAACACGGCGTCATGTTTGACGGACTCCCAGCTCCCGATGACGACACCATCTGACCGTTACCTCTGGTCATTTGATAAAACACTCCAGCACAACCCAGAGCAGGAATATTACATCAGTGCCGATGGATCACTTCACACCAGCGTGGGTCTGACTTCCTGTCTGTGAAGCACGGGTCCGAGCACGTACGTACCATGTCGTCTTTTCGGTGCAGATGAAGAACTGAGACCCGTTGGTGTTGGGGCCAGCGTTGGCCATGGACAGGATGCCGGGGCCGGTGTGTTCCAGGGTGAAGTTCTCATCTGCAAACTTGTTGCCATAGATGGACTTTCCTCCGGTTCCGTTGTGGTTCGTGAAGTCGCCACCCTATGACATCAGAGGCACGTTACAGATCACATGTTCACACAGGTAAGGAGTACTGTAGTGTCTTATTAAATCTGCTCTCACTTTCTCTGTAGAACCTGCATTTTGAGCTCACCTGGCACATAAACTGTGGGATGATGCGGTGGAAGCTGGATCCCTTGTAGCCGAATCCCTTCTCGTCGGTGCAGAGGGCGCGGAAGTTCTCAGCAGTCTTTGGCACCACATCAGCACGGAGCTGCAGGAACAAAGTTCAGAGAGAGGGAAGGGATGACTTTGATCTTGAGACACCACCTCAGCCGGCAGCTCCTACGTATGGTCGCCAGCCAAACTCCGGAGGTTTATCAGCCATGGTGAACTTTGCTCAGCCCGCCCACAGCCTTACAGCGCCCTGCTCCGTGGCGCTGCAGGTAAACGTAGCAAGCCCGGCCGACTACTGCTCAGCCCGAGTGGAAGAGCTGCAGCACTGCGTCTGCAGGGCCCCCACAGCAGTGATGCCACCGCGGAGGCATGACCAGAGGTGCAGCAGGGTGAGGTCTGCAACTGCTGCGCCTGCTCAGCAAAAACACAGTGTGCACCTTCATCTTTTTTATCCTCCATCTGCTGCGAGAACTGGGAAGCTCCGGTTACCCCACAAACCCCCCAACCCTGCCAGGAATGCAGCCGTTCTGGTTTGGGCCGTTTTTAACCACTTTATCCACTGGGGTGCCCCAGGGATCTGTCCTCGGGCCCCTTCTTTTCATCATCTACCTTCTTCCACTCGGACATATTTTTCGTAAATATAATATTCAGTTCCACTGCTACGCCGATGACACCCAGCTCTATCTCTCTACCAAACCTGACTCTACTCTTCCTCCACCCTCCCTCATCCTCTGTCTAGCTGAACTTAATTCTTGGTTCTCCTCCAACTTTCTTAAACTCAACAGCAATAAATCGGAACTTCTTCTGGTTGGCACTAAACGACTGCTATCCAGAATTAACAATTTCTCTCTCACCATCAATAACTCGCTGGTCCCTATCTCTCCCTCTGTGAAAAGCTTGGGTGTCATTCTCGATAGCACATTATCCTTTAACTCACATATCAATAATATTACACGTGCAGCATATTTCCAACTCCGTAACATTAATCGCCTACGCCCCTTCCTCACACCTCACGCCACTGCCATTCTCATCCATAATCTTGTTATCTCTAGAATTGACTACTGCAACTCATTATTATTTGGCCTCACACAAAAATCTATCAACAAGCTCCAACGTGTCCAGAACTCTGCTGCCCGTATTATTACTAGGACTTCTTCTACCCACCACATCTCCCCAATCCTGAAGCAACTTCACTGGCTCCCGGTCAAATTTTGCATCCATTTTAAAATAATTCTGTATACATTCAAGGCTATTCATTCTCTCTCTCCACCGTACCTCTCTGACTTATTACAGATGAAGCTCCCATCCCGCTGCCTCAGATCTTCATCTTCTCTTTCTCTCTCTGTTCCCTCTGCTCATCTGATCACAATGGGAGGGAGGGCCTTTAGCTGCTCTGCCCCTCGACTTTGGAATTCCCTACCCCCGGACCTCAGAAATATTAGTTCATTCTCTCTTTTTAAGTCCACCCTCAAAACTCATCTGTTTAAAATTGCCTATTCTTAAATTTCTGTATGTTTTAACTTTTATCTTCTATTTTTACCATTGTGTATATTTCCAGTTTTTTATCTGTTGTACAGTGTCCTTGGGTGCTTTGAAAGGCGCTATTTAAATAAAATGTATTATTATTATTATTATTATTATTATTAACGCGTGCATGCTGGGAACGCCCATAACGTCCTGCTGCTACAAGCACAAAATGGCTGGACGGCTAGCACTCATGCTAGCTATTTTTTAGCCTGCAGTTAACCTGGTTAAACAAACATAAGCCCGCCAACGAAGCGCCCCATAAGCGGCAGCTCGGTTACGTAAGGTTAGGTTCTCACACCGGGAACAAAGGGCCACACGGTAACCCCGCATCCGCATCTCAACTCCCCTCCCCCCGCGGACCGCGCCAGCTCAGTGGAAGATTCCAGAAGCAAACACGGGGAACAGCGCAGTTAGCCTCGGTGGCTAACAGCCACAGAACCGGCTACTCAAGTTTTATCACACGAGCCTCAGAAAAAGCGTTTCCCCGCCCCGTTCGTCTCACACAGGCGACAGTTCACCGACAGCAGCGCGGCTTTCCCGGGTCTGCGAAGGCCGCGCAGCCGCAACAAAGAGCCTGCAATAAAAGTAGCATTAGCATCGCTCATTCGTCGGCGGGTAAAATACTCGCTCCGAGGGGCGCGGGCCCAGTCTGCGCCTCCATGTGACTCGAGTTTGAGACATTTTCCGACCACAGCTAACCCGCTGGTCTCCAATCAACCGGGGACTAATGACTGTGAGCAGACAGGCATTCAAACCAGAGTCGTTCAGCCCCGGGACGCTGACATTGACATCAAAATCACACTAGCTGCATTCTACGCGCCAACGGCGGCCTCTGCAGCTACAGTCGGCCCCGGAGCGCCTCGAGCGGCGCTGGCGAGCAGCCACAAACACGTGCACAAGGCCCCCCCAACACGCTCGTGACAGCTCGGCTAGCTGCTGTGATGCTACAAGGAAACAGGAGGCTGCCCCCAGCAGCTGAAGCCCGGTCCACGCTGCCAGGAAGAGCCGCGGCAGAGGTGACTATCGGCACCCAGCAGCAGTTACTAACCGCCGTCTAAATTCAGTAGCAGTAAGCCCCACCGACCCCCGGGATAAACTACCGGCCTGCGCACCGCAGCAGCGGCCTCACCTCCATCACGATCCGGCCCTGGGCTTTACCGTCAACGGTGATGTCGAAGAAAACTTTGGGGTTGGCCATTTCAGTAGGTCGAGCTGGAGACGGAGGACTGAGGGGTTTCCCGGCGAAAAGACACAACGGACCACAAGGAAACGAGAAGATCCGAGGATAAAAATTTATATAAGACGCGAGTGGGCGGCGTGAAATCCCAGCGAACCAGTCAGTAACACGGGATTATTTGATTGAAGCGTGTTTAATCCAACCAGCAGAAAGAATAGCGAAAGCTTTTCTCTAAGTGGACGACTGAGTTTAACCGTGCGTTCTATTCGTATGTCAGGCCGACCCGCCCGGGCGGGGCTTGGGTGTTGGGAAGGCTCCTGTCCTCGGAGCACCGCCCCGTTTCGGCGTCCAGTTTAAGGAAAAAGTGAATCTCTCTAGTGCCAAAGCGGCGCGCGCTACAAAAATAGACAACGCGAACCTCCAATGGCAGCAGAGCACACGAGGTGGTGGGAGGGGTGAACGTCAAGTCTGGCAGCCAGCGGGACCGTGCTGCCACCGCCGGGGGAGGGGGGCGCGGTCACGCGGCCAGGGCGCGGTCCGGTGTTTCCTGCAGAGAGCGGACTTACTCATCGTGGAAATTTACTGCGCGCGGAAAAGTTCAGCTCGAGACGAAGTTCAGCAGCACAGCTTAGCGCGCAGGCTCAGACTGAGCTGCGTCACAGCTGCAGGAGGTTCGTCAGGAAATCAGCTGTAAACAGTGACAGAGAACGAGTGCAGCACCCCAAACACACCGTAACAGTCTGATTAAAGGGTCAAATTCCCCCACACTGCTGTGCGAAAGTCCTGAGCCCCCCACCCCATCAGTTGCAGGAAAATGTGAAACACGCAGTGATTCTGAATTCAAAATGTGAAACATGTAGAAACATGTAGTGTTATATTCACTGATGTACCTGCAAACACAACATTAGCCTGACGGTGTGAGCAGCTCTGTGAGGGTCTTCAGGAACAGTTCTCATTTCAGGGAACAGAAGATGATTGGCTGAAGCTCCAGGTCATCTCTACTGTGTCGGGTGGATTCTTCCTCTTTCCTAAGGATGTGACTCTCAGATGCTACAGACACACTTTTAGGCCTCACAACTGTTCTTCCCAGATCTACAAAGTTTTCAGCTCACAGCTCTTTGGGACTCTGCTCACTGGTACAAAAACATTATTTTATGTTAAACTGTTATCAGTTTTCAGATTCAGCTAAAGAAATGGGAACAGGTGTGTTTGAGTGACAGGCAGTGTAAAGTGCGCTCAGGTGTCTGTGTGCACACAACACCAGCTCCTCATCCAGTCAGGAGGCTTTGTGCTGCATGAATGATTCATAGGTCAGAGTTAAGAGGCTTAACGGGGAAAATCGTTCAGTGTCGATGCCGCCGAGCTGCTGTTCAGCGAGCTATCGATCAGTGACCTTTCATCACATAGGTGCTGAGAGAGAGAGGCTTCCTGCTTAAAACCTTAAGGTCAGCTTTTCTTAAAATAACGGAGCAGTGAATACCAGGAGAGGCCTCGAGGAATCAGTTCAACTAAGAAAGCCGTCTGTGAGAGAGGGAACAAAGACGCAGTGCTGTAAATGTGCTCCGTGTCCAGCCGTCGCAGTAAAACCTGCAGAAACCTCAGCGCCCTCCACGCAGCCTCACAACAAATCAAGGTGTGCATGTGCTATGTCTTACAGTGCACTGGACTTCCTGTTCACTGCACATAAGCTGATCGTGTTTCATTAACTGATATGAAATCTTAGAAATCTTCACCTGCTCGATTTTGTTCCCAGAATGTTTTACCTGCACTCACGTCCTTCATCAAGAATTTATTCTTCTTCCTGCTCCTTTTCATGCATGGAAACAGTGTTACTTTAATTGAAAGGAAGGTTGTGTATGGGAATGCATTACTGCTGTACCATGTGTGAAACAAATAAATAAAATAAATAAATTAAAAACTCACATATCTGGATTTAATCCTGGGCTCGGCTGTTTAAAAGATGTAATCTGGATACAAACCATCCCGTTTGGGTAACCCAGTTTTTAAAGGTTTCCAGTACTCTCACTGGGCTGCAGAGGGCGCCAAAACTCACAATATCAATGAAGCTTCACTGAATCAGTGAAACTAAGTTTGATAGTAACGGCTGTTCCTTTATCAGAGAATTCATCCTTTTATCCACAGCCATGTTTACCTTCCTCAGGTCATGATATTAAAGGTGCAGTGTGTCATTCTCTTCACTGTTTATCACCTCTAGTTTTTTGGCTATTATTACTTTTCCTGTGTAATCCAGTCTCTAGCCTGGTGCTGGGATTGGTTAATCCTTGCCAATCCATAGTCTAGGACTAAAAAAACCCTTTGAACAACCAGATTTCAGAACATGATCCTGACTGGATTAATTCTGCTTTTGAACCAACCGTGAAGATGATTTATTATAAAACTGAATTGTTGGAGGCAGGTGCACCCACCAACACCAGACTCCATTCAAAGTTTGATTTTTAGATAGTCTTTCTTTCCATTAGTCTTGATTTAATTCATAACATAATATCGACAATATTCCAGATTACAGTTTACTGAACACAGAGCCAGAGGTTTGAATGTTAAACTGAATAAAGTGGATGTGGAATCTACTTTGGAATTCATGTCCTCAGCACCAAAATCTAACCTGTGAGAAAAACGTGCCAGAGTTCATTCAGAAATGTGCAAATTTAAGGAGATGCCGTTTTGTACGTTTCTCTGACCGAACATGTCGTCGATCAAACACCAGCCAGTTTCTTACTGTCACATTAAATATGTGACGTTTCCTCTTTTATTCACGGGGACTCGTTTCAGCGCGAGTTATGAGCGGTGTGGACGTCGATGCCCGATGAAGACCTCGGGCTCTTCGCCGTGATGAAAGCGCCGCAGCCTCTGCGTGTCTTTCCAGTGTCTGTTTATTAAATTACAAACTTTATGTTATGAGCATCGTTACTGAATCATCGTGTACAGGTTTCCATGGAGACACCACAACTGTTGGACTCTAAGTCACTATACAACAACACAGGATGATGATGAAGATGAACCAGCGTTTGTCACTGCAGCTTCAGCCCAGATGTGAGTAAGCCACATGTGCAGACCGCAGCCAGGTCAAAGGTCAACCAGCCCGCTTACAAAAAACCCTCATAACATGAGGGGAGGAGGCTGAGCAGCTACAGCCGCCCGTGTTGCCTCTCTCTGATTGGTCATCAGGAGGTCCGTGTTGCACGCCGGGGCCGGGCGTGGACCCCTCAGCATCTCCAGTGAGAAAGGAAAGCGTGTCCGTGGGAAAAGACGCCGCTTACAGCTCGTCTGCAGCCATCTTTGCACCGAAACTCCCGGCTGTGACGCGCCACACTGCTGCCTTCACGGGTTTCACACCCACCAACAGCTGGAACCGCAAAGGACGCCAGCCGCACTGGAATAACCTGAATCACGGGCTGAGCCAAAACACTGACAGCCAATCAGTGTTGTGCTGTTACACGAAGAGCGACTGGGTGACATCGCTGTGGGCGGGGCAGGTACGTGAAAGCAGCGCTGTGGCGCCTCTTTGAACTGACAGGGAATGAAGGATGAAGCATCGAAACACAATTAAAAACAATAAAATAAAGTTACCATGGAGTTCATAATCACACAAAGAGATTTTTTAGATTCAAAAGTCGCCATTTTGTTTTCCTTCCTCCTCACGGTCCGCCCCTTCCTGTGCAGACGGTGCCATGTTGGCGGCGAGGATAAAAAATAAAGTTCGGATTTTGCCGTGACGTCTCGGCGTGGCCGACCCCGGAGCCGTGCGAGCGCTTCAGTTGTTCTCAAACAGCGACAGCAGGTCGTCGTTGTTGTTGCTCGGCAGGTCCGGAGGGCCGAGGTAGGACAGCAACTCGTCCGGGTTGGTCAACTCAGGAAGCAACTGCAGGAGCAACGAGGACAACCAGCGTTAGACTCGGCGCCGGCCCGCTCACGCTTCAGTTCACACAGTGGTTACGGATTAAGCACAGCTGATCAGCGTGACGCTCGCTTGACTCACCTGCTCTGTTACTAACGACCTGCTCGACGTTATTCTGGTGTTATTGTTTTATCACAATGTTTGTTTATTAAAGTCGTGTTGTTTATCGCCGTGACGATGGCATTTATCACAACACCTTTGTCCAGCACATTAGAAGCTCAGTAAAGTAGAGTCTGTTTCTACTCACGTCAAGAGAAGTTTCCGGAACATCCGCCGGGCCCCCGAGTCCAAAGGAGCCGTCGCCTTGGAGACGGGGATTCTGGTTGCTACGCTGCATCATCTGGTTGCCACCCCCCATTTGCGAGTTGCCATGGAGACCCTGCGACTGCTGCTGGTGCTGCTGGAGAGGAGCACCATGGGAAGTTGAGTCCATACGGCCTGAGCCTGGCATCTGATAGGGAAGGACACAAGGGGGGAAGGAAAGGAGGAAGAAAGAGAGGAAGGAAGAAGACGAGAGAAAAGAGAGGGGAGAGGAGGGAAGGAAAAAGGAGATGAGAAAGGAAAGATTTAAGGAGGGTGGAAGGAAGTATGGAAGAAAGGAAAGGAGATAAAAGAGGAAAACAGTGATAGGAAACAAGTCAGAGCACAAGGAAGGAAGGAAGGAAGGAAGGAAGGAAGGAGACACAAAACGCTACGTCCAGATGAACAGAATCGACTTTTGGAGAAGAGGAGGTTGTGTTTGTTGTCAGAACAAATCTAAAGCAGTGATGATGATGATGATGATGTACCTGTCCAGCCAGCGGGTGAGGGGGGGGTTTGTCAGCGGTGAGGAGGGCGCTGGAGAGCTCCGACTGGTAGGACAGGGGCGGGGGGCCGGGCGAGGAGAAGTCGCCGCCGATGCTGGGCGTCCCCGGACCGCTGAAGTCGGAGAACGGAGCCGACAGCGTGGGGAAGGACGGAGCTGAGGAAGAGAGGCGGATTAATACACGTGACCAGCACAGGAGGTGGTCGACTCGCCGCTGTGAGGTGGAGCAACCTACCTGATCCGGGTCCGGGGTACTCAGGTGTCGTGCTGCTGTTGCTGCCGCCGCCCCCCCCGGGTATGGAGGGGTAGGGCATTGGGGATGAGGAGGAAGAGGAGGGGGGAACTGCCGAGGTGGAGGAGGACGAGGAGGAGGAAGGGGTTGGGCCGAGCGAGGCGATCATCTCCATGACGTTGGGCATGACCATGTGACTGGGGCTGAGCGTCCGGCAACGCTTCAGCACGGGGCCGTCGGGCTCCTCCTTCACGTGGAGGTCGGGCTT